TGTGTGTGTGTGTGTGTGTGTGTGTGTGTGTGTGTGTGTAATATTAGATATTATATAATATAATATCTAATAGCACTAGCACTTAGACTTATATACAGCTTCACAGTGCTTTACAGCTCCCTCTAAGTGGTTTATAGAGTCCACCTATTGCCCCCAACAATCTGGGTCCTCATTTTACCCACCTTGGAAGGATGGAGTGAACCTTGAGCCTGGTGAGAATCAAACTAATATATCAGGTTTGTTAGCATCTTGGGGGAAACCAAATAATACTATGGGATTTTAATGTAAGTGGGCTGCAAAAATATGGAACTGTAGTTTGGGCCCAGAGTCCACTCATCTAATTCCTGGGTCTTCATCTCTCACCTCCCTCAAAGGCACACTCAGATAGGAAGGTCAAAACAGTGACAAGAATACCTAGGGTAGAGTATGCTTGGCTTTCCCCACATACTTCCCAGAGTGGAATCCCATTATTTCCTGCTTCCTGTTCTAATTCCGATTCACAACAGTCACTGTTCCAATTGCAGAACAATTTTCATTAGCCTGCTTGTCCAAACACATTCATTTTCAAAGAAAAAAAAGAAACAAGTCTCTTCAAATTTCTGAAAAGAAAAGGAGCACTAAGCTTGTTCCCATTTATAATTTCATTATTGCTTAATTATTTTTGGAGACAATTTCTCTCTATATCCTGATAGATTGAATTGGAAAGCTTACCTTGTCTTGCAATCAGCATTATTTTACATAGGGATCAGCTGAGTACTTTATCCCTCCTATTATTTATATTACAAAACCATAGCTTTTTTTATTCCAACATGCATAGAAAGATACATGAGCCTGCCCAAGCCTGCAGCTGATCTCAAACTGCCCCCCACCAAAAGAGCTTCTGTGAACACACCTAAGGGCTAAGGGGGACTGAGGGTTTTAAGCAACAAAGACCTGGCTTCCTCCAATACTATACTATTCTTCCAGTCCATTTTCCCCTATGGTCATCCTTCATTTAACTGGGGAGGAGATTCCAGGGGTGAAATACTACCCGTTCGCCCAAACTAGTAGTAAAAAAAATGCTACCGGTTCAGGCGAACTGGTTTTTCTGACGATCAACTGTGAGGCACAATTTATATTAAATCTAAATCACATGGCACAGTGGATTCCCCCCCCCCCCCTTGCTGTTTGCTTACCTTTCAACGCGTGCTCCTGTTGCTACAAAACTGGTAGCAAAGGTAAGCGGATTTCACCCATGGTTAATGCAATCATAATTTTGCTCGAAGATGATCATTTAGAACCGGAGAAAATTATTATTTAAAAAAGGATATTCAATTGATCTTCATTTCATCCTGTCACTTTAGTAACCAGCATGTCATATTAAATTTTAGATTCTCGGTATCAGCTGACTTTCATCCAGCCTGCAAAGATACACCAGCAGATTCTGACCCAGCTAGTATGTTCCTGCAGTGTCTGTGGGCTACGGCTTTCAAAACCACCAGGCGGTATTCTTAGCCTAGATCTATCATTCCCTTTACAACTGTCTATTGAGGGGAGCTTACATGCTGTTTATCAAGAAAACATACTTGCCCTTAATACCCCCACTGAAAAACCGCACACAGTTCTACAGAAATCAGAAAATCCCTTTGCCACAGAGCAAAGTATGTATAAGCAGTAAAAGTTTAAAAAAAAAAACTGCACAGAGACCTCAAAATTAATTCTTTCTTCAGTCTTGAGCTCTAGTAATGTCCCAGTGATCAAGATTCTTCTTCATTAAGAAAATGAGTCATAGATAAAACACTGCCAAGGGCTTCAAAAACCTCTAAAATGCAATGGTGACAGGCAGGAAAATTCTTTGAGCAAGATTGCAGCTTGGAAGAAGAATCTGATGCTCCAAGTAATGTCATGTATGAAGCTCCAAAGTACCATGAAAATAATGTGTGGACTTGCTACGTCTCCTGGGGAAAAGGTAAATTATGCATTCGTGTTGATTCAAAGATATGCAATATCTTTGAAATAGTGGTGAAATGCAAAGTTTTTTGCTGGTGGTTCTGTGGGCGTGGCTTGGTGGGTGTGGCAGGGGAAGGTTATTGCAAAATCCGCATTCCCTCCTCACTCCTGGGGGAAGGATATTTCCAAATCTCCATTCCCACCCCACTCTGGGGCCAGCCAGAGGTGGCATTTGCCGGTTCTCTGAACTACTCAAAATTTCTGCTACTGGTTGTCCAGAACCTGCTGAATTTCACCCCTGCTTTGAAAGCAATTTTTAGTTGGAAGACTAAAGCTCCTTCAGCCCGGTTTCTGGGATTTGTATCATCAGTGAGGAGACCAGGATGCTGGAGAACACATCTCCTTGAAACCAAGTTGTGGAGACAAGTTAATGGCGATGTCTGCATTGGTACAAGCAGCAATGACAGCCTGAAAGGACAGTTAAGGAAAGGAATCTTGGGCACCTTGGAGTCTCATACTGCAAAGCTCGCCAACCTTAATTAGAGCACATTTCAAGTTTTGGCTTTGTTTATGCCCTATAAGATACATTGGAGTCACACAAGAAGAAGCTACAGGCTGCAGTCTCCAAAGCCAAGCATTATTTCAATGTACAAAGAGGGGATTTCCAATGGAGCAGTGATCAATAGAAGAGAACAATCCCTGCTCCAAATTCTTCGCTGGGGGATGTTTCAAGTTTCAGGCTCAAACACACACACACACACACACACACACACACACACACACACACCCCTCATGATAGTCTATCTTACACATACAGTATGAACTAGTTCATGAAATACACAGCATGGATAGATAAGACTTAATGAAAGAGAGGCTGTCTGCATATTTACAGGAAGGTTTTGTGGCTCCCATTTATAATATGAACTTTTCAACTAATTGTTGATTTTTAATGACCAAGAAAAGTAGAACTGTTCCTCTTTGCCCAAGACTTCATTTTGGTTGAATTAAGCATTCATGCAAGGCTGGACATTATAACTCACACACCTTTAATTTAAGTCATATACTGCATGAGCAATGGCCAACTTCACATCATCTGTCAGAAGGAACAAGCTATAAAATACCAATCCTGAGCAACACTGGAACAAATAGATCAGGGGCATCCAACCTTTGGCTACTTTAAGACTTGTGGACTTTGACTCTCAGAATTTCTCTCATTTTATTTACTTGCCTTTTACTAGGGGATCATAGAATGCTCTCATTCATTTGCAATCCATGGTCTTTTCCTAGAACTGCTTCAATCTTTACGGCAGAAAACCCAACCTTCTTCAGAAGAAGGGAAGACAAACAGCAGCTCAGCAGATGTAGCTTTCAGGTGGGCAACAATGCAAGACAGCATTCAGACTTGAGCACAGAGTCACTAGGATATTTGCAGTGAACTCCATTTATCAGCTGTGTTGATGTTGTTTGCAACTGTTTTAATTTGTGCCAAAATGTGTTTCTGGATGTAGTTTTAAACATTTCACATGTGCCAATATGCAAGCATGGAGTTATAGCAAAGGAAACGATCTGTGTTGTATCTCATTTGTAATTTGTACTCAAAATGGATATTGAGGAAAGTGGGGAGGGAGTTTCACTTTGCTTTTCTTTCTCTCTTTCATCATTATCCACCTTAAAAAAATAATGTCTCTAAATTATTACAAGGAGATTATATTACCTAATGCCATTTTCTCTATGCAGAAGTGGGGGAATGCTGCACTCAACCGTTTTTCTGCCAAACTCTACAATAAAGTCACCCATGCTTTCTTGAGCGTGAGTGTTTCAGAAAGCAGCAGGAGGGGGATCCCAAAACGCAAGCCTTCTGGCAGTTGTTGTGCCCTCTGCCAATTGCAAATTCAATGCTATCCAAACATTCCTGGCTCTGCACTACCACCTTAATTCAAGATGAAAGATAAATCCTTGTTGGGTTTTTCAATTGCTGTTTCTGGCTACAGCTCCCTCAGTGTCTGAGGTCCACACTTATTGAAGCATTCACAAAGTGAGATTTCAACATCTATTGTTCCATCTGTTTCACAGCCTTTAAAATCTCAACTTTTTTGGGGGGTTGCTTTTCTTTATTGTTAACTGAGTGATTTTAAGGCACATGACACAGTTGTTCCCTGCTAAAGCTAAGCAGGTCTGGTCCTGCAGGCTGCTTAGATGGAGACTCAGCCTGCCTGAACCACCGTAAGCTTCTTTAAGAATTCCAGCTGGATGGAAAGCAGAATGAAGAAAAGATATTAATGTTATTATTATTTTTATTATATTATTATTATGGATGCCCATTCCAGAAGACTCTGGGCAACTTATGGTATCCAAATATTCAGTTTAAAAACAGTTTAAAAAAACCACCAGGCAAGACGTTGCAACCCAGATTGAAAACAATCACACCAATAAAATATTTAAAGTGGCCCGACATGTAGCAATAGCACTTAGACTTATATACCACTTCATAGTGCTTTGACTGCCCTCTCTAAGCAGTTTACAGCCTAGTGCCCCAACAATCAAGGTCCGCATTTAACCCACCTCAGAAGGATGAAAGGCTGAACCAACCTTGAGCTAGTGAGATTTGAACTACTGAACTGCAGCTAGCAGTCAGCTGAAGTAGCCTGCAGTACTGCATTCTAACCACTGTGCCACTTCGACTTATTACATTGCCCCCAGGCTGGGAGCAGAGCCAAATCTTAGGGGCCTTCCAGAATTCTAGGAGAATCTATGCTTTCTCAGACCCATAAGCTGGCAATGAACGGGACCTGAACAGTGGTGGGATTCAGCCAGTTCGCACCTATTCGGGAGAACCGGTTCTTAACTTTCTAAGCAGTTTGGAGAACCCGTTGTTGGAAGAAATCTCATTTTGTTTTTTGTTTTTTTGTTTTCTTCCACTTTGCAGGGCTAATCCTGTAAGGAAGGCAGGAAGGAAACATTCTAGTGTTGTTTCTAGCCTAATCTTTATTNTAGCAGTGTTCCAATATCTCAGGGGTTGCCACAAAGAAGAGGGAGCTATTCTCCAAAGCACCCGAGGGCAGGAAAAGAAGCAATGGGTGGAAACTAATCAAGGAGAGAAGCATCCTAGAACTAAGGAGAAATTTCCTGACAGTCAGAACAATTAGTGGAATACTTTGCCTCCAGAAGTTGTGAATGCTCCAACACTGAACGTGTTTAAGAAGATGTTGGATATCCATTTCTCTGAAGTGATATATGGTTTCCTGCCTAAGCAGGGGGTTTGACTAGAAGACCTCCAAGGTCCCTTCCAATTCTGTTATTCTAAGCCGTGCACAGAAGAGCAATTTTTAAAAAAGCAGTGGGACAGCACCACTTTTTGTCTAAGCATGCAAAATGAGGGATTATGTGGACATCTTGCGTTTTGTCAAAAAGGCAATTATGCAGAAACCTAGTCCAGAAATCCTCCAATGCATCCATGTTGAAACTGCAGAGTGTGCACACACAACTCTTGTCATGATTCTCTATAATATTGCAAATTATCAGCAAAATAGTATTAGTCAGTGTGTACCTTTCTTCTGAGGAATCCAGCACGAAAGAAAATCCATTGCTGCTTTGTTTGAAAGCCAAACGGTCGTTTCACATCTACCTGCAGTTTCCCCATTACATTAGCCAGAAGCAGATTTCTGGAGTCCAACCAATTCAAGCCATCCAGATAAACCAAGATTGGAAGGAGAAGAACAACAGGCTCCTGAACTTTGAGTGTTGGATAGGGTAATGGATGAGACAGGACTCAGGCTTCAGTGACAACAAACAGCTCTTTAT